TAAACAAGTTCACAAAGATTACATTCTATTCCGTAGACAACATTAGAAGATTTGCAGTTCAGATTTTCCCAAGTTTTGGTACAGAAGCTATTGTCAATCAGAAACTCAAGCATCTTTTTAATGTCAACTTCAGAGTACTTGTGTGTACAATCAGAATTTTTTAAAAAATAATTTTGCAAATGACCAATGACAAGGTAAGTAAATTTACGAGTTCCATTTTTATTGAAAAAGCAGCTGTCAATGATATCAAAAAGTCTGGACTTAAATTTATCGTGGGGAATGGTTGTGTATAAAGTTGAAAAGTCGTAAGTTTTTAAGCTGTTGATTTTGGTAATTTTAGGACTTTGGGATTCATATATCACCCTTTTTCATAGTTTAGCTCAGACGGCTGGATATATAAGTATATAGCTATCTTTTTTTATAATCATGTTCTAATCCATCTGGTGCCACACTATTGCTATTTTGTAATTCTGGTTTTTTTTTAATAAAAATATTTTTGTTTTTAGGGTCTTGTGTATTTTCTTCAATTATCTTTTTTAAATGCATGTTCATTTTTAATATCAAAGGTGTGTAAGATAATGATATAATAATCAATCTGAACTATATCTCGGTGTAGCTGAATTTGCTCGAAACAAGAATCATTCACTCTGTGTTCCTTGATTTCTCATGTACCATTTACGTGATTCTGAAAGAAAAAAACGAATGAAATATGAAGATTACGAACAGAATTCATGCTCAAAAGACCATTGAAAAAATACAAATTGTGAGCAGAGCCATCACAGACCTCTAAAAATATCAGAGGCCGAATCAGGTGCCATGGAGGAGTAAGCATCTCCTGTCGACCGGTCACACCCGCAGTATGCTCCTTAACATGATCGGGAAAACAGAAAAATCTGTATTTAATTAAACATATTTCATGTAATGAATATATACAATTGGAGTGAGCACAAGTTCTTAAAACCTATTTCGCCCTCTCCTTACATGAAAAGTCTATAAAGTTTGTCTTGCATGTGTTACACATTTTTTGAGAATAATTCGATTAATTCACGACATGAATTCGTCTTGAAAAATAAAAAAACATAAAAAATCTATAGTAGACATTCGTGGGAAAATATAATGGCCTAACAATTCGTTTGAAAAACATCAGTCAATATTCGACTCAGTGATAAGTTGTATTTGCTGACAAAGTCATGGTATCGATCATAGAACTTGCGAAATGATGACTTTAAACGAGATTGTTGATATCTTTGTATCATCATTTTTTCAGTCAATAGCTTGCCTCGTTTTGAAAATAGTTCGAACGTAGAACAGGCACTTGCATATTGAATCAACTGGGAGATATAAACTTCCAGGGTAACAGTGGTTTATCGTTATAAAGGGAAATCGAAGACAGAAAAGTTGATCACGTTTATCATAAAGTTTTGTTGTTAGTTTGCCATCAATGTCTTTCTCAAGTAGAATCTCCAAATATGAAAAAAATGTGTCAGACTCTGTGGTTTCTTTTATTTCCAGTTGACTGGGATGTATAGAATCACCGTATGAATGAAAATAACTATTGTTAATTGATAAAAAGTCATCGATATATCTAAATATCGAATGGAAGGCCACAGCAAGTGTCTTCTTCTTTTATGTACAAGTTCATAAGTTTTTAAATAGATTCTGCTTCATATGAAATATGAAAAAAGGTCTGCTAAAATCGGGACACAATTAGAACCCATGGAATTCCAATAGGTTTTTGGAAGACTTGATCTCGGAAAACTACACAGATATTGTCAATGATTATCTCAAGCACCATTTTAATATCAACTTCGGACTGATACAGAAATCAAGCCGAGCAAACATTGCGGTAATAGATTGAAATTGCATATATAACATATTTAGAACTATTAATTGTTAAATCTAGGCATTAAAAATTTTCATCCATTCATATAATGCATAAAACCAAATACATGTAATTATCTTCATGTAAAATCGGTATATCTGTTATATTTTGAAGAACAGATGTATTAAATATGGTCCTAATAACACTCTCAAAATGACATACATGCAGAATTTTTATGGTTTGGATACTTCATATGTTATAAACACTATTCACTATAAGTAAACAATAGCACAGAAGAATGGTGGGTTTGTATGTTTATTTGAAAATGTGAGAAAAGGGGATTTAAGGACATAGAAATTGTCGTAATTTAGAGGACAATGACTAGAAAACTGATAAAGGGTATTTGTTTATGAGATACAAGCACGGATTCAATCAAGAAGCACTCTCTTCCTTCAGAGAGAGATGGTTTAAGAGAGACCGGTTCTTGATCAGTTGGGAACAGACAAAGAATAATTCATGAAAATTTCACCTCGACCTCTTGAATGTACATGTATTGTAAAAACAATGTAGCAATATCATAAAACGTCCATTTCGCTGATATTTCTATAAAAAAAGAAATTAAAATTTCTTACTGTTGTGTTTATTTTCAATATGAATTTTGATTTCAAGTAGCGAGAAGTTAGGTTTTCATGCCATGTCGGTGACAATGACAAAGAAAGTGAAGATTTGTCAAAATAATAGAAGTAACGAAGATAGGTAAACTGAAAAAGTCGAGTGATAGACAAAGGGCATGTATTTACTTTGCGTGTGTGCTATATTTATTTTTCAATTATTTAAAGTATTTTTTGTACAAAGTTATAATGTAAATACGAAATCTACTCTAATCTATAATTTGTAAGGAAAGACGTCGACATTAATTGTATCAAAGAAACATGACTGACTCTTTAGTTGATATTTTTAAACATATATGTACATACAATGAAAAGATTTCAAAGAAATTTTATGAACATAAATTTGACTTAGCTTCAACCTCGCTTAGTTCGTTTTATGTTACAGCATATCACATAATTAAGGAGTGCATAGAAAGGTCTGTTGGTCCTAAGACTGCACCTGCGCCATACTTATGACCCAACTTAAGTCCAAAACTTTATTGGAAGGCTTATGTTACAAGCCCCAAGCGGGGGAGGGGGGGGGGGGTGGTCGTTACATAAGAAGACCTTAAGTCTAAGACTATGCTTAAGTGGAACTTAAGTCATTTCTTAGTCCTAAGATTGTATCTAGAAGCGTGTTAAGAACGACAATTGAAGGAAACCGAGCTGACTTAAGGAAGGTAGAGCTGACTTAAATATGTCTAAAATAAAATTTTAATTTATTTAGAACTATTAGTTGTTAAATCTCCACATTAAATCATTCATTCATTCATATTATGCCTTAAACCAAATAAATATTTATATATGTAATGTTGGTGTATTTTTTACTTTGAAAAAAAAAAAAAACAGATTCAAAACATGTTCAAATAACATACTCAAAATGGCAAACGTGCAGAATTTTATGGTTGGAATACGATTATATAGTCCTTATAGAAAGCGTATCAATTCTCTCTCTCGCGGAAGGGAGTGCGCCTTGTCTGAATCCGTGTTTGTGACATTCTACATTGTATCTAATTCACAAACACTAGATATAGTTTTCTAGCCCTCTTCCTCAAACTCACATTTTCAAGCAAACATACAAATCCACCATTCTTACAATTGTAGACTTAAAGTGACTAGCATTTAAAACCAATTAAGCATCCCAACAGTAAAATTCTGTACGTGTTTCATTTTAAGAGTGTTATATAAATCAATATTCAATAAATTTGTATTTCAAACAAAAGTCAATATACAATATACAAGGGTTAAACATTTTTTATTTCGTTTAATGCAAATTATAAATGGTTGAATGTTCTATTGACGAGATTAGATAAGTGTAATGGTACTTAACCAGCTTCCCATTAGTCTTTAGTCTATACTGAGAATGTGCTTAAGTCATACTTAAGTATGGTTTTAGGCTTAGGTACCCTTCATGTTACGACCCTTTGTATCCTTTTAAAAGATTCCCAATAAAATTTTTTTTTAAAAATCATAAAAATATTTTTAAAAAATATCAGATCATTTATTAATAAAAAAATCTATAAGAGGCATACATGTACATGTACAAAGGTGTATAAAATTGATATACACAATAATGTAGGAATATCCTCTTTTAATAAATATTCCGCAAATTATACAGCCCCCATTTCATGGAATCCCCATATTTTAGATTTCGATGCTTAAAATCTCTAAAAATCAATACCAATGAGGTGAATAATATGTTCACATACAAGTAATACTCCAATTTAATATCAAAAAAGTGCACCTGTAAATTTGAGAACATAAAAAATAACAATCTGAAATCCATAGTAAAAATACTTTGATACTATAGTAAACTATAGTTAACTGTAACATTTTTTTTATTAGGATTTCCCATATAAAAACGCCAGGTTTCTCGATTTTCTATTTTGTTAAATGTTTTCCTGGATAAGCTAAACAATTTGATACTACATGCAAGTATATAACTTGTTTCTATTTTTAGAATTGTCTGGATCTTTTGCTCACATGTTGAGTTTGTGCTTTATTTAATTAAAAAACCAATTATTTCACCGGTAAGTCGTAATTCTTAATATCCAAGTTTTGTTATACATGCAAAAGTCAGAATATTGCACCCGAGATAGAATTTGCACGAGAGCACATCAGAATATTGCACCCGAGATAGAATTTGCACGAGAGCACATCATTACGTACATGAAGTGACTCATGCGACAACTTATATAAATGGAAGGGGAAGGCAAAAACTACAGTTTACCATAAAAGTCGTCAGATCAGTAGAAACACTACGATGAAGTCTCTAGGACTCTTAATAGTTATTTGTTTGTACCTAAAGGTAGGGAAAGTTTTAATTAATTTTATATTGGTCAGTATAGATCTGTAAAATAAGAAATTCCACCCTCTGAAGGTTTGCAAGAAATAGATCTTTTATTTTTCTTGTTATAAAAATATGCAAAAATTAAGTTAAAAGGAGAGAAGAGACTGAACAGTTAAATATTGTATTCGCAAATTTTTGTAAAATACATTTTAACATTTGAATGAAGTGTGTTTTCTATTTCTAGGCAGATGCCATGGAAGAAAAAACACTTGACGAAATACTGACGGAGGCCACCAATGACAGTAAGTTAATTATAATAGCTTATTTATACATATTTTATTAGCTTATATATATATATATATATATATATATATATATATATATATATATATATATATATATATATATATATATATATATATATATATATATATATATATATATATATATATATATATATAAAGCACATTTTACAACAACTCTTAAACTGACATAACTGCCCTAAGTGAAGAAATATTAATATAGAAAGCACAAAGAAATTCACTTTTATGAGGCTGGGGCGGAAGTGGGTATCCTTATAAAAGTGAATTTCTTTGTGCTTTCTATATTAATATTTCTTCACTTAGGGCAGTTATGTTAGTTTAAGAGTTGTTGTAAAATGTGCTTTATAAATAAAAATTAATTTCATTACAACGTGTATTGGTAACGATCCTCTGATAAAACTAATGTCCAAATAACTGTATCTCACTTCCATTCTCAATGACCGTGTAGTGTAGGGCAGCGCCGCGAGAATTTCATCGGCATCGAAAGCAAGTTTTTTTTCACTTGCCTAGATAGCCGAGCGGTCTAGCGCGCTGTTCCTGTACTGCTAGGAGACAGATTCCGTAGGTCGAGAGTTCAACCCCGGGCTGGGGCGGAAGTGGGTATCTTCATAAAAGTGAATTTCTTTGTGCTTTCTATATATATATATATATATATATATATATATATATATATATATATATATATATATATATATATATATATATATATATATATATATATATATATATATATATATATATATATATATATATATATATATATATATATTAGGGATGTCAATTTTATTCGGACAGCTTAGTCGAATATTCGGAGGCTTTAGTCGAACGATAGTCGAATATTCGTTGAAACTTCAATTAATTTTCCATGTCATTTTCTTTATTTGTCTTTTATAGACTAGTTGTACAATGTTTAACCTACGCTATCATCATTATACAACGAATTTCTGAATCGTTAACATTTACGTAGTACAATAAATACTGTACATCTACATTTATCCAATGCACTTGATTTTAAAATTGATATAATATTTACTGCACATTTTATCTAAATGTAGGATATCAGACGCTTGCATTTGTACTTTCTTTTCATAACGATAGTACATGTACCCGTTAATTGAAGCCATTTTTACGTGTCGTGTCAGTGACCTTTGACTTATAAACAGTTAAAGCGTGCCTCTTATAAAAACAGAGAGAGCTTGCGATAAATTTTAATTATGAGATTTTGCGCAAATAATCAATACAATCTTAAAAAGACTGCATGATATTAATATCAGAAAGAAACACCATTTAATTACGCTCATAACTGTCCCCCAATTTACATGTATTTACAATTTGGTAACAGCTGTTTAATTATTCTTTATGAATATATACTTGCATTACGTCAGATCTTATGGAATTGCAGGTTGAAACTTTATAATTTGAATCTACAAAACCAAACAATTCTTGAACGTCCTCTCCCTTTACAACAATAATTGGTAGACAATCCTTGATAACAGAAAAGTTTCACTTGAAGACTGTGTTTACTACATGTATGTTTGACGGATTAGGCATATGATACATCATATAATATATATATATATATATATATATATATATATATATATATATATATATATATATATATATATATATATATATATATATATATATATATATATATATATATATATATATATATATATATATATATATTAAACATTGCTGTGTCGTCATGTCTTTGTTCTTGCAGTCTAAAAATTTTACCTGTAGCTGTCCGATAATAATATTTACCTATCCAATAATATATTATCGGACGACAGTGATAACAAAATCGGACAGTATTTAAAAAACAAAATGGTGAGTGAAATAGGTCCAGAAACCAGAAACAACAAAAAAAGTAAAAAAAAAAAAAACAAATTCAGGGAAAGCAATTATCAGGAAATCAAGTTGATACAAAATAGCAAATCCATGAAGAAGAAAATCGGGTTTTAACCTGCCTCAACAGTTACACTTTCCATTGGGGTTTTGCTAAGTGTTTTTGATGCAGCACTTTAAATAAGTTAAATAGAATTGTATGAGGCATATGTCTTACTTAAAACATTGCCATTTAAATGTCCAAAAGTTACCTGGAGGAGTCCGATAATTACACAGCAGGAGTTAAGGCATCAATAGTTTTACCTGTAGCTGTCCGATAATAATATTTACCTATCCAATAATATATTATCGGACGACAGTGATAACAAAATCGGACAGTATTTAAAAAACAAAATGGTGAGTGAAATAGGTCCAGAAACCAGAAACAACAAAAAAAGTAAAAAAAAAAAAAAAAAACAAATTCAGGGAAAGCAATTATCAGGAAATCAAGTTGATACAAAATAGCAAATCCATGAAGAAGAAAATCGGGTTTTAACCTGCCTCAACAGTTACACTTTCCATTGGGGTTTTGCTAAGTGTTTTTGATGCAGCACTTTAAATAAGTTAAATAGAATTGTATGAGGCATATATCTTACTTAAAACATTGCCATTTAAATGTCCAAAAGTTACCTGGAGGAGTCCGATAATTACACAGCAGGAGTTAAGGCATCAATAGTTTTCTACCTGAAACCGTCTAATAAGTAGACAAAAGAAAAAAGTTATTTTTTCTTTAGAATGTAAAAACAGCGAGTGAACTCTTTTGTTTCATTTCATTCCTTCAACGGCAGTCGTTTAGAATAGCAGGAATTATGGACAGTGGTCAGGTGGTGAAGGATTTATTTTTATTCAGAACATTAAAAAATGTTTGCCTTTGCAGCTGTGTAATTAATTCATCATGTGCGTCTGTCATTGATACAGACACAGTGTTGGATGATGTCATCACCATGGAAAGTAAAAATGTGGGGTTTTATCTAAAATTTTAGCTGGATGATATAATGAAAATCTCGGGTTTTAAAAGTGAGGCTATCGGCGAACAAACCTCGTTAAATGAAGAGATTCGCAGATTCTTTATCATAAATGAATTTAAATTCGCTTATTTAAAGTGCTGCATCAAAAACACTTAGCAAAACCCCAATGGAAAGTGTAACTGTTGAGGCAGGTTAAAACCCGATTTTCTTCTTCATGGATTTGCTATTTTGTATCAACTTAATTTCCTGATAATTGCTTTCCCTGAATTTGTTTTTTTTTCTCACTTTTTTTTTGCTGTTTCTGGACCTATTAAACATGCATAGATTTCAGTCACCATTTTGTTTTTTAAATACTGTCCGATTTTGTTATCACTGTCGTCCGATAATATATTATTGGATAGGTAAATATTATTATCGGACAGCTACAGGTAAATTTTTAGACTGCAAGAATAAAGACATGATGTCACAGCAATGTTTTAAGTAAAATTATCAGACTGTTTTCGGCCCTAACGGGCCTCAAACAGTTTGATAATTTTACATATAGAACAGTATACGGCATATATCCATTACTTAAATATATATATATATATATATATATATATATATATAGATATAGATATAGATATAGATAGATATATAATTATATGTGTGTGTGTGTGTGTGTGTGAGGGTGTGTGTGTGTGTGTGTGTATTACCAACTTGTTCACATTCTGCTCTCCATTGGGTCCAAATGTATAAATACGGAATTCCATGAACATCGTTATCTCATTAGAAAAGTTTTATTTTATCTACCTTATTTTGTCATTCAATATTCTGGTATTCTATTGGAAGTTAATTCTAATTTTAATTAATATAAAACCGAAGAACAAAATTCTTACAAATAAAAATCATTTTGTGATAAACTTTTCTCGCTGACGAGTATAAATCTATTCAGAAGTGCGTAATTGAGGGTGTAGCATGGACTCTGGGGAGACGTGAACTAACTGCTTAGGACTTGGCAAAAGAATCGCTTTGATCATTACTCATTAGCAATGTTAGCAGGTGATTTCCCTCTATACACTTGTGAGTTTTGATTGTTATTTTTGTGATTTACTACTGTACTCAGATATGAGATTTGATCGTTATTTTTGTGATTTAATACTGTACTCAGGTATGAGTTTTGATTGTTATTTTTGTGATTTACTACTGTACTCAGGTATGAGTTTTGATTGTTATTTTTGTGATTTACTACTGTACACAGGTATGAATTTTGATTGTTATTTTTGTGATTTACTACTGTACACAGGTATGAATTTTGATTGTTATTTTTGTGATTTACTACTGTACACAGGTATAAGTTTTGATCTGGTCTCCAGTGGATCCTCAGAGAATCCTACCATTAGAATAGAACACGACATAATGATGACATAAGAAGATTATATGCAACAAGAAAAAGAAAGGTATTAACAAAAACTACCTTAATATATCGCCATGCACTACCTCAAAATATCACCAAGCACTGCTACAACATATCATAACGCACTTCCTCAACATAACACAACACACTTCCTCAACATAACACAACACGCTGCCTCAACATGAGACAACACACTGCCTCAACATAACACAACACACTGCCTCAACATAACACAACACACTGCCTCAACAAAACACAACACACTGCTTCAACATAAGACAACACACTGCCTCAACATAAGACAACACACTGCCTCACGCAACAGAACACACTGCCTCAACAGAACACACTGCCTCAACATAACACAACACACGTCCTCCACATAAGACAACACACTGCCTCAACATAAGACAACACACTGCCTCAACATAACACAACGCACTGCCCCAACATAACACAACACACGTTCTCCACATAACACAACACACTGCCATAACACACGTCCTCCACATAACACAACACACGTCCTCAACATAACACAACACACTGCCTCATCACAACACAACACACTGCCTCATCACAACAGAACACACTGCCTCAACATAACACAACACACTGCCTCAACATAACACAACACACTGCCCCAACATAACACAACACACGTCCTCCACATAACACAACACACTGCCTCATAATAACACAACACACTGCCTCATCACAACACAACAAACTGTCTCAACATCATACATCACCAAACGGTATCTCAACACATTACTAATTGTTGTACCTTTAAAAAAAATTTCTTTTAAAAAGTTGAGCATTTCCAGTGTTTTACTGAGCGGTAAAAATAAAATCAATGTAATCCTGCAGAGTGGACTGTTTGTGCCATCTTGGAAGCCAGCACAAGATATGTCAAAAAAGTATAACAAGACATTTATTGGTTCTTTAGCAAAATGGGTTTTGCCGACCCCTCGAACCAACTTGAATTGTTTGCCCTCGGCCTAACGGCCTCAAACAGTCCGACAAAACGCCCTCGAACCCAGTCAATAATTGTGTAATACTACCTCAACACATCACCAACTACCTCCTCAAAACATCACCAAACACTGTAACTCAACACTAAACAGATTATCGGTATATAGTTTTTGTGTTAAAATTGACAGATAAAATAATAATAATAAAAGAATAAAATATCACAGAAAATATACGGTATTTTCTATTTCATTAACTTTAAAAGACTTTTACATACTGTATTACAATTTCGTAGAATGGCAGAAGAAAAAATGAGTAGGAGAAAGAAGAGGAAAGCAATCCGATCCCAACAAAGCAGATGGCCAGGAAAAATAGTTCCTTATGAAATCGCACCAAACACATTTTGTGAGTTATACTGAAATCATTAGAGCCTTTAATAACATGGTACTTCATAAAGCTCCGTGTGCATATATTTCAAAATGAAAATGAATTTAACTATGCTCAACACTTTTTCTAGGAGTATCTTGATACAAATATATTACAAAACATTTTTAACTTCTTTTTTGAAGCAGAGTTAATAAATTAAATACAAAGTAAATCATTGATCGATAATTGAGTTTTGCAATTCACTTCTAATTAAAGCTCAGACAGATCTGAATCAGATTAACCTGGCAATGGGGGATTGGAACAGAGAAACGTGTGTCGTGTTCCGACCAAGGAATGGAGAATCCAGTGCCGTGAGATTTCAAAATGGCCAAGGGTGTGTTCAGTTTAATGAGCATCAAATTATGTTATTGTTTTAGACGTTCAGGTAAAAGAATTATTAATTGTACATTTTAAATTAATTTTAAGATAGATAAAGTGTTTACAACAAGTTTCCATTTGTCTTACACTAGATGCTCGTATTTTGTGGGGACAATAGGCCGTGTTCAGCCGATCAGCTTGGCCAGGGGATGCCGTATAGTAAGTGCTTTTTACACTTCACAAAGAGATAATCCTCTTTCCAATAATTTTTCTTATTTTTCTGCACATGGTAAAAATAATTACTCCGAATTTGTCACACTATTAGAATTTATTTCCAATGCAAACGGAAATAGTTCGCATTTTACACACCATTAGAATCGTGTTAAATATTCACTTCCAATGCTCACAAAATTAACAATTCCTCTCCATTTTGCACACTATTAGACTTTTGTCGCCAATAAAATATCCACTATTTATCCGATGGTATTTTTTTACAGAAACTATATGAAATCACGCGCAAGCGCGGGGAATTGAATTTATATCACTAACGACAGAAAATATATTGTAGTTTCTACTGACAGCCTACAGGCTTATAGGAGGAAGAAATACTTTGTTCAAAATCCCGCATGAAGTAGATGTACGTCTCCACTGCCCCCCCCCCTTTTCTGTAAAAACTTGAAATATAACAATTTCATTAATTGACCTTTATTGTGAAACCTGTTATACTATGTTATGGATATTGTACTTCAGATGCTCTTATTTCATTTCCGTAAAGGATAAAAGCAGCGAATATGCACATTTTACTGATAAATTGATTTTTTTCGGGGGGGGGGGGGGTAAAAATTCACAGGTACTTGGGTCCTGGTTTATGAATATGTATGTACCTTATTGATATGTAAAAATGTACTTTACTTTTTTTTTTTTTTTACATATCAATAAGGTACATACATATTTATAATGCAAGACCCAAGTACAGGGTCTGTGTAAAAATTAGCTTTTAGGCCGAGTATTTGATACAAATGACTTTATTCAGAAAAAAACTGAGATGTATTGATTAAAGCACAATATTTTACACAGCTTTAATTGTATGTGAACAATACCTTATTCATTAATTTTCTCATTTCATGTAAGCAGGTTTATTCCGAAGTACAAATTGTACTTCGGGTTCGTTGCCACGATGCTCTCAGTATAAGGAATAAATACAAATTTTATTAATATTCTAATAAATTTATTAGAAAAACCTACGACATACATGTAATAGTCTTTCGATATATAAATATATTCAAAACTTATAGTGTTATCAATGATTTACCATTATTTCAATGACCATTCATACAAAAGCTTTTTTTTTAAATGATCGCCTCGTTTTTCTTTTTAACATCGGGCTCGATGCTATATGATGTTCTAGAAGCTTCCGTCAATATTAAGATTGGTGAATGACGAAAATAATTTGCACATTTCCCTTTTTAATCGGTTATCAAAACTTATTTCTTTTATATCATTTAAATCAAGTTTTGATTGAATAATTCAGTGATGAAGTTTTATGAAATAAATAAATGATTGCTTGTTGTCAGTTTCATTAAAAATTGCCAGTAACTTAGATCCGCCAACCGGAAACGCCACCGTACTCAGGTTTTTGCTATTTCATGGCTGTTTATAGAAAATAAAAGTAGACTTTTAATTTAATGTACGATATTTACTATGCAAGTGAAATCTAAATATAGTTTACGGACATCAGCTTGTATGTAGTGTATTGTTAGAGGAGTAAGTACGAACTCTGGTGCACCCGTTTCGGAGTTTATTTGCAAAATTTATTAATTTATAAGTATAGATGTTTCCGGTCTTAAATTTTGAAAGCATCACTTTTAAACACGCTTATAAATACATTTTCACCTTGAACCACATCACGTCCTGTTGTTGAATATTATTTCAGGATACCGTTATCGGCAAATCCCCTCAGATTATTCGAGGTTCATCTTTGTTCTCATACTTCCTACTTCCATAAGTTCTAAAACAATTTAATAAATTGACAGCACATCTATTTTTGACACCGTTTTTATTGCAGATCTTGATATGGACTATTTTTAAAGCAGGTTCCGCATAACACCAACAATCTTTTCATAAGATTTAGAACTTCTAGAACTACAGTGTATTGTCCGAATAGAACTCCATAAGATTCCAACACTTTTCCTCAACAAATCTTCATCTTATATGTAATGATAAATTCCCAATCTGTTCTCAAAATTCTGTAGTGTTCTTCTGCTTCCATGTCAAAAGTATTCAAGACACAATTTAAACCTCTCTGAATTTACTTTGGATTTAAAAATATTCTTCGTCTGATTTCATGACTGTTCAGTACAATTGAAAGGTTTGAAATGACTTTAGCGCCATGCTGTTCATGCTCACTAGTCCATGAATTCAAGGGGTGTTCGATTAGACTATTGTATTGTGTCACTGTTGGATATGTAAATGGGCTAGATCCTATTGTATTACAGCAATGTTGGATATATGAATGGGTAAATGTTTCTTTGGGGTCCAAAATGGAGATTTTTTTTAAGTAAGATAAATAACGAGATGGTGTTGAATAGTTTAGAGAAAACAACTGCAATCTATTACAGTAGTTAGAACGAAGATGAAGGTGGAATCGCTGTAAACTGATATCCTCCAATATTTCAGAGGAGAATTGTGGTCCACGAAATGGGACACGCTGTTGGATTCCAACACGAACAGTCAAGGCCGGACAGAGACGGGTTTGTCCGGATTCGCACTGAAAATATACCACAACCGGTTCTCTTCAACTTTAATAGACGTCCCACAAGTCGAGTGAATAATTTTGATGTACCTTACGATTACAGAAGCGTGATGCATTACGGAGTCAGGGTGAAGATTACTATTTACACAAAATCTCCGTGGAATTAAATGAATGATTTCTTTTAAGAGAAAGAGACAAGTGCTGAGTTGCCATTTCAAATGGAAAACTTGTAATTTGGCGTTCATTATCCATGTGTATATAAGCATACATGTATTTATTACAATGCATTTTTTGATTATTTAAGGATTTTTCAACTAATGGTCAAATTACAGTACAGACAATTGATTCCCGATTTCAAAATATCATTGGTAGAGCACCCGGACTCAGCTTTAATGACATCAAGCTTGCCAATATAATGTATAACTGTGCAGGTACGACTCCTTGTTAACGAGAATTTCAAACTTGAAATTGTCTACTTAATTTCTGATTTATAAAAAATTTTTAAAAATCTCTTCAGAGAACTGTCCTGCTCAGAGTTGCCCGGGAGAAGGTTTTGTCGGCAAAGACTGTTCTTGTAAATGTCCCACTAACAACCCAAACAACCCAGTCCAGAACTGTACTGGTACCACCTTAGTGACCACAACATCTGTGTCATCTTCAACAATCAGAACCACCACCCCAATGGAAGGTACCACCCCACTTCCCTTAGCTTATATCTGTTAATATTATACTTTCATGTAAATTAGTTGAATTTGATTCGTCGAGAAACATTTGTTAAAATACACTATAACCCGCTGAATAATGAAGCCACGCCCTCAAGCATAGCAACATTCGACAAACAAGAGGCCCATTGGCCACAACGCTCACCTGAGTAACTTTGGCCTTGCTGTTTTTCACCTTACCCCCCCCCCCCCCGTTGTACTTATTGTGGCCCCGCCCTATCTCCAGGGGTCATGATTTGACCAATTAGATTCTACACTACCCCATGATGCTTCCACATAAGTTTCAGCTTTTCTGGCCCAGTGGTTCTTTAGAAGAAGATTTTTAAAGATTTTTTCTGCATATTTCAATGTAAAATATGGATTTCCTATTGTGGCCCCGCCCTATCCCCGGGGGTCATGATTTGAACAATTTAGAATCTACACTACCCCAAGATGCTTCCACATAAGTTTCAGCTTTTCTGGCCCAGTGGTTCTTGAGAAGATTTTTAAAAAATTTTTACTACATATTTCAATGTAAAACATGGATTCCCTATTGTCGCCCTCCCCTATCCCCGGGGGTCATGATTTGAACAATTTAGAATCTACACTACCCCAGGATGCTTCCACATAAGTTTCAGCTTTTCTGGCCCAGTGGTTCTTGAGAAGAAGATTTTTACTACATATTTCAATGTAAAACTTGGATTCCCTATTGTGGCCCCGCCCTACCCCCGGGGGTCATGATTTGATCAATTTAGAATATACACTACCCCAGGATGCTTCCACATAAGTTTCAGCCTTTTGGCCCAGTGGTTCTTTAAAAGAAGATTTTTTAATGACCCCACCCAATTTTTGTCTTTTCTTGATTATCTCCACTTTGAAGGGACTTGGTCCCTTATTTTGACAATTTAAACTTCCCTTCACCCAGGGATGCTTTGTACCAAGTTTGAATAAAATTAGCCCAGTGGTTCTTGAGAAGAAGTTGAAAATTTGAAAAGTTTACAGACGGAAGGACAGACGGACAGACAGACGGACGGACGGACGACGGACAACGGCTGATCAGAAAAGCTCACTTGAGCTTTCAGCTCAGGTGAGCTAAAAATATTGAGTGCGCAGAATTTTTGCAGGCAAGGTTCACTGTAATATGTATTTGTAAAAAAAAAATTCAGTATAATATAATAAATACTGCAAGTAGATGAGTGTAACATTGAAAATTTTCACCCCTCGAAAACCATTGTCAACCTCGGCTGCGCCTCGGTTGACAATGGTTTTCTTGGGGTGAAAATTTTCAGTGTTACACTCAACTACATGCAGTATTTATATAATGTTGCTTCAAATAATCATCTTGGTCTTCATTGGCATTTTACTAAAAATGCCAATGACCAATTTTACTGGTTTGAATGTCTTGTATGATACTGTATCGCAATAACTAACATGGTCTTAGACTCAGTTACAGTTGAAGATTTAAATTAGTGACGGACATTACATGGACTGTGTTTTCTGTGCTGCGGTTGATTTTATTCGTTTTTATGTCCTTTAGGAGCGTGTGAGGATATGAATCGTTACTGTGACTACTGGGCGGGGCAGGGTTTTTGTAGTAGGAGCCCGTATATGATGATGTATTGTAAAGAAGCCTGTAACCTCTGCAATGGTAATGTATCTTTGGTACAGCTAGCTGCAAAAAATCAGCAAAAACAAAGTCATAAAAAAACATAAAACATTCTATTGTATTGGGGTGTGTAGTGGAAGGAAAGATTAAACAATATAAATTTGTACACAGAAACTGTGATCTGGTAAAATTGGTTAGGCGTTTGGTACAAAATATGGGAGGCACAGATACCCGCCCGCCTCCTTCCCTCCATTAAGAAAAGGTGGCCACAAGCCTCCGCCAAGGATATAAAGAATATTGATTGTTGGATATTTTGATATTACTATGCATATATCGTGATGCTACTAGTTAAACCCATCCTAGTCGAAATTAGGGGAATTTTTTTTTTTTTTTTTTTTTTTTGTGGTACCAATTTCGAGGGGAGAGTGAGAAGTAGGGATGGGGATTTGAAATAAATCTGTATATTTGTTTTAGAAAAAATAATGAATATTAACTTTATCATCTACGAAGGCTTAAAATAAAGGTTCTATTTTTCTGAGAGAAGTCGCCTTGTCATGAAGCAATCTTTATAAAATCTTTCAGCTCAAAAGCGATGTGAAGACATGGGTCAGTCATGTGGTCTGCTGAGAGACCGAGGCTTTTGTACACTTCAGTTCGTGAGGAGTTATATGGAATCTAACTGCGCCGCCACATGTAACTTCTGTAGAGGTATGTCAACAGGCAAAAATGGGCAAGAAAATCATTAACCTTCGCCAGTCTCTGTTTTTACACAAGTTTTTATAATATTACAAAATTATTCTGCTTTGTGATATACTTTTGCTTTTCCTTGCAGCCGGAGAGTTGCTAAGCGCAGATGAAACCTCACAAAGTAAGATGTATTTTACTAGGATTTCGATTTTAACGAACTACGTCAATTAAAATCCTTCTTTTTTTTCTTTTTCTTTTTTTTTTCTTTACATTTTATGCAACATAATAAAAGTTTTTTTTTATTTCTAGAAAAAATTAGGCTTTTTCTCGAAAGATGAGTTTGAAAATTGATGAAATTAAAGTTACATTATGTGTCAAAATCATGTCATTCTTCCAAGATATTTGTATCACAAAGCGAACGATTTATGAAAAATATGCGTATAGCGAAGTTTTGACAAACTCAACTGCACTGTAAGATTGCAAAATGTAAGTGTCGGAAAAAAAACAAAGGTTGTTTCTACCGCGTCGTTGTTATCATCAATACCAAGGTCACGCGACTTTTATTTTTAGCGTAAAACTTGTAAAAACATTGAATCGGAACATGCAAAGGTAAGGAGTCTTTTTTGAAGATTGTTTGAATCTCCTTGGTCATCCGACATTCATTTCTATAGACTTGACACCATGGTAACTTTTTCAACTTTTATGCTATCAATGAAGAGGAAGAAGTGAAGGATTCTTTTCGTCTTGGGGCAAACATTTTTTTCTCTATAAAAACAGATTTTTTTTTAGTTCTGAAGCCTGTGTTTTTCTGAAACTTTAGTCTTAATACTTTCAAGAATGGAACAAAATTTGCACTGGTCATGCAAAAATTTTATTTTACTTAATTTTCCCTTTTTGCGTTACAGTATCGCTTTAACTTAGTACAACAGCTTACATGAGTTAAATAGGTCGAGGAATCTACCAAATATGGATATTGTCGTCATTGCGCACAGAGGTGCTTACAGCGAGCAATCGACCAATCCAATGAATGAGCCGAAAAGCTCGATGGTCTACTACGTGTTTATATTTTACTACAAACACGTGGGTCAGGCAAATTTAGGACGCGATTTCAAATGACTGCGGGAAAGTCGACTGATAATTATTTTTAATGTTTTTGAAAAACACGAGGAATATGTTCTAATTAAGATTTTCCATGCTCACATTAACAAAGTCAATTTTTCGTGTTAAATAGTACGTTGAATTACCGCTCACAAAGTCTTCACAAGTAAATAAGAACCCAGTTTTTATAACTTGATATTCGTAAATTTGCCATGCTACTGGTGTTATTTTTTGTTACTTTGTTATTTGTTTACTAGAAATTAAAAGTTAATGCAGTTATAAATAACATAAGTCTATTGCTGTACGGTATTTTAATTCTCAAGTACATTGATCATAAGAACGTGTATTGAGTAGCATATAGTCGCCGGCGTGGCGCAGTGGTTAGAGCGTCTGCTCTAGAGTCGCGAAGTAAGGAGTTGATCCTGACGTCGCGGGTTCGAACCCCACTGCGGGATGTGGAGACCGGTCCTTCGGATGAGACCGTATAAACCGAGGTCCCGTGTCGCAGTAGGTGCTGGCAAGAAAAAAAACCCTCACTGCTCAATGGCCGTAAGTGCCGAATATAGGACAAAATTTGCAGCCCTCCATCGGCAAGTGGTGGCGTCTTCATATGAGTGAAAAATTCTCGAGAGGGACGTTAAACAACATACAAACAAAGTAGCATATATATCGAAGTTGTATACGTAGTAAACAATGACAATACGTGAGTACACTTCAGAGTCGATTACGTGAGTACACCTCAGAGTCGATTTGTTTTGGACTAGGGAATAGTCACGTGAAATTCATACTAACTGATAGTACAGCACGGGAAAAACTGCCAGGCTATTGTCAACAAACGGACTTATACAATAGAGTGGAGAAAACCCAAATTTTACCGTTGTAAAACATTTGTATGTAAATGTGAGCATGGAACTAGTAGATAAAGATGTACATATTATATTAAGTGTGTAAAATGCTTGGGAAAATGCATCATGTCTTTCCGAGAGCGATTTCAAAAACTGGCCTTTTCGAAACGTACATGTAGTATTTTTGAAGTAACCCATAATGCAACTCATTTAGCTGATTGGTCAGTTTGCAAGTCACGTTGGGTGCCACATTTAGCATGTAAATTTATTCTGACGTCACAGAAAATAGTTTCCTCGACGTGTTATAGGCTCAAGTGATCGAAATTTGTCCGTTGTTCCATTGTCTTTCAACTTTTCATATATCCATAGGCTAGAGCAAATTTTGCAGATCAACTATACATATATCAGAGATGTACATGGTACTTGGATTTTGATTTTTGATCATTTATGGGGAAAATACCATTTCTTGAACTTAGTTATTTTTTTCTGCAAAATATGCTAAAAGGTTACATGCATACATTGAATTTGTTGGGATGTCACCTCCCACAGTTTTCAGAATATAAAGTTTTTTATTAAGACATCGTTCACATTAACAAAGTTTACTTCTCTTTCCAGGGTCAATCTGGGTCAACAAATGTAAGGTGTTGTTTTCTCTCTTTATCACTAACGACTTTAGGGGGCAGTTTCTGATAGATAAAATATATCTGTGTTTGTTATTATGTTTTCTTTGCTGCCCCATACTTGCCTATAAAGGTATGGTAAAAAATTAATAAAAGACGTTTAAATATTTAAAATATTTACAGGTAAGTTACAAAGAATATAATGAAAAAAATGGGTATTTCGCCGACAAAGGGAAATAAGTCTTGCAAATGTGAAGTTTCTCTATTCATGTGAGAAATAACAGTACTTTCACACAAAGAAAACCTGGTTTGCTGTTAAATATATTTATAAAATTCTATATATATTTCAACAAAAATGTTGCCATGGTTATAAAAAATATAATTTCTTCAAGATTCCTTTAAGGGGACCGACTGGGGTTTTCGTTGCGCAATACATCGCGCAGCATAGTAAAATAAAGCGTATTTACTCTTTTAAAGCAGCTGTTTTTACATAATTTATAAAAATTAACAAATTTAGGAAATCTCAGGTTAAAAAATCTAATTAAGCTTTAAAATAACTGATTTTTTAATCGATTTTTCAAAAGAACGGTAGATAGACGTCGTAATAGCGTGTTTTTGACGTTAAGAATAACCGAAGTTCTTCAAGAGGGGTCATTAATTATGTCATAAAATAAAAAGTATAAAATAGATACTTTTGAAATTTTAAACATAAGAAATTGAGAATCTCACAATTATTTTTTATATAAATCTGTGGTATCTAGCTGTCATGTTTTTGTAGTACTCCATAAAAACAGGAAAATATCATGAATTTTGACATTTTGAGATGCCCCCTCTGGAAACCAGACGGTAGAATTTTGTGTTTCTTGCATAAAATGTGCAATATAGTATAACTCATCAAATAATATAATTTGAGCAAAAAGTCTTTAGTACCATTTGTATAATTCGCTCCGAAGTGCAAAAAAAAAAAAAGTATCTTCCCATATAATCCTATAGTAAATGTACCTGTATTTTGAGATGGTCCCTAAAAAATAACCAGAAGGTAGATTTTCACTAAACCTGCCATGTGTACTGAAGTCAATGTAATGTACATATGGTATAAATTTAAAGAGTTTCTCTATAGTAGTTTTTACACAATAAAACCCCAGTCGGCTCCCTTAAAATGTAGATCATTTTACAGTTTAAGCCAAATTTCAATAAAAATTGGTACACAATATTAAACTATAATAAGGTACATGTTTTTATGTGTGTGTTTTCTTTTTAATTTCATGAATGGTAATGCCATGGTTACTAAATAAATAATTTATTAAAATACTATATCTCTGACAGATTTGGTCTAATTTCAGTAATTTCATATATAATTAGATTACATCAAGATTCAAAATTATTTGTATCTGTTTTTGATTTACATGAATAATATTGCAGTGGTTACTGGAAATAGAATAATGTTTGGAATTCTTTTAAAATTGCTACTCCTAAAACAGTTTTTGTGTGATTCCATTAAGAAGTGGTAGTAAACTGAACTGGGGGTCATCATTGTATTTCAGGGTATTGCTATAGTAACTAAATTTCAAGCTACCTGCAGGTACTTCAGAGACTGGGTTTATATTGTATAACGTAATATTGAAGAAAATTATCTTTTTTTAATCTTCTGCTTAGGAACATCAGGGATACAATCAATCAAAGGTATGTGAAAGCAGTCCTCATCCCAATATTGTTATTATCTGTTCTGGGGCCATAAAACTTAAATAAGTTCATTTTTGATCTCAGTCTCACTTTTACAATAGGAATTTATAGTGGAAAAGTAAGACTGAGGTCAAAAGTGAGTTCATCTAATTTTTATTGCCCAGAGGCCAGGGATAATTCAGAATAAGGGTGGTTAAATTACAAAGAATTATATTGTAAAAAATTATTTAGTGCTGGAGACTGCAGGATTTCTACTCATCGCTAGTAATTCATGATAGGATGACTTTTTAAATTATTTCATTGATTGCTCCTCATAAAGTCATTGAAATAATATGTTTTAATGGACTTTTTACCTATGTATTTCTTCCATTTGAATAGATTTATTTTAGATATACTTATAAAGCTCAAAGTGGATACAAAGATGTACGTGCTTTGACAGTTATATAATGTTGATCATTGTGTGTGGTTTGCCACTTCTGTCCAGTAATGGCTGAGTCATAATATATGGATGTATGATGCCACAGGATGTGAAGTACATGTAGGCTATTCTTCACAATATTGTAGGCAGCAAATCATGCATGAACTCTAAGTGCACGAGTACTAATCTATTCATCCACTTAGCCGTCAATCATTGCATGACTAGTGCATTTGTCCTAATGTAGTTGTTTATTTTTACAGGATGACGGCGTGTTGTCTACAGAAGTGTATACCCCCCAAATACAAGGAAGCAGAACTCTCTAAAGGACGGTGTGTCTGGACAGATGTGTAGCTAAGTACATGGAAATCCACGACAGAATCGGCAAAAAATTAACCTCCCTGTCACAGGAGGACGAGGCTAAAGTCAAACAAATGCAGGCCCATCTCCAACAAACATCTTGAAATGTGTTGTGTGGGCCATTATTATCTGTGTTGTGATTGAGTGGTACTTGTAAGTGTCGGTACATTTTGAAGTGAAACATATGATAATGACTTTTAATGTCATTCA